TTCAGATGGGTGCAGGGGAGGCCGTCCTGCCGCGGATGTTGAGGTCCAGGGAGATGACGATGAACCCAGAACTAAAAGAAGGTTATAACATAACACAAAACCCACAAGCTTTTTGATTTCGGTTTGGGAAAGTCTGGGTTTTTGTTAGAAATGACAGGAAAAAAAGATTTCGTCCTTTTTTTCCAGGAGAGCTGAGGATCGCGCCAATGATCACTCGGGGAATGCAGGGGAAGCTGGTGGCAGAGAAACTGCAGGGGCGGCGGATGGTGAGGTTTTGGGGGATGGATTTCGTTGGAGAAAGTATGGGCAGAAAGTTGTGAGAGGGAATCTTTATCCCAGGTTGCTACATGAATTTCTTCTTCCGTTTCTATACTCCTTTTTCAGATTTCCTAAACAAAAAAAAAAAAAAAAATTGCACTCTGCTTCAGTTCTAGGAACTCTGTTTCTGACAGGAAAGTGTTTTGCCTCTATCAGGAGCTACTACAGGTGCACGAATTTGAAGTGCAAAGTAAGGAAATACGTGGAAAGATCTCCAGATGATCCGAATGCTCTGGTAACGACCTACGAGGGCAAGCACAACCATGACATACCTGCACCCTGATGCTTCAATTTCTTCCCTTCATTGCCTTGTGTTAATGGCATAAGTTGCTGAAATTTTCGTGTTGTGGTAAGTTTGACTTCAATGGAAGTTGCGAGGCAATCTCAATATATCATGTAATATTCAGGAATCCATGAGAAGAGATCAGTTGTAATATTAATGTGGCACAACCTTTGTTCTTAAGGGCGACCGTGAGGGTAGATTAGCATGATAGAAACATGCCTAAGAAGCTTCAACCATACTATGGATCAAGGCTCAAAACCATGTTAATATATCAAAATGTGGAATTGAAAAGCTTCAAGTTAATTAACAACATATATTGCAGTCAAATCCGCGATTCAACTCGTAAAACTGTACGCTTTTTGTGCTTCTAGGTCTTTGATGACACGCAAAATATCCTATTTTAGATCCCCTATTTCTATGGTATTTTTTATATCTCCATTGTCATAGTAACTCTGATTTGCTTTATAAATGTTCAAATGTGCGTTTTACACATTTGATGCCTTTATTGTAGTGTTTTTATAGTTGAGATCAAGTCATCAAGGAGGGATCATCATGGCATGAAGGAGGATGAGAAAATGAGCTTCTAGGTTCAAACAAGGACAAATTCAGAGCTCCAAACACACTCACACAATAATAAACATAAATTCTAGGCAAAATACATCTGTATAGCCATAAATTTGCACTTTGTGACAATAATAGCCAGATTTTGAAAAATACACAGATATAGCCATTTCGTCAATAACTTTAACGGAACAGTAATTAATGCTGACTGGACTAACGATTTTTACTGACGTGGCAATTTTTCATAAAAAGATATGTCATATTGAAATTATCATTTTTTTTAATTAATAGAAAATTGCTAAAACCTTTTTCCCCTTCTCCGTCTTCCTCTTCCTCTTTCTTCGATGGTGAAGTTCAACCCAATTCCCCACTTCCCTTTACCCAGACAAGTAAAGAACGCCAAATCGATTCCTACCAACAAAAAGAAAGAACACCAATCGCATTCCCGTTTCTCTCGGCATCGATCTGCCATTAAACCAAATAAAGGTATTTGTGTGTGAGGTAAGAAGTAAACTGGTGGGAGAAAAGGCGAAAGCCAGAGAGGAGAAGGAAGCTCGCGCTCGGAAAGTTGGTCGACGGCGGTGGTTGTCGACTCGGCTCCGCCTTTCTTTTCCTTGAGAGCAGATCTAGAAGCTCCGTTCGATTTCTAAGCAAGTGATCTTCGCGAAAACGAAATCCTAGCCGCACTATCTCCAGCGGACTTACTCCTTCAAAAATCCATATCTTGAGACTGAAGAATCCCAATCGTTGCCGTAATTGAAGCACCGTGGACGACTGTAGAAGATGCCTTGTCGCCGTAGCTGGAGAATCGCACTACTGTAGCTCGACAAGGGTTTCGTCATCGGAGTTAGAGTACAAATTGAAGCTAGGTGAGATCGGGGAGAAGGTGACGACCGAGGTGGGTTTTTGCTGGTGGTGTTGCATCTGGATTCTCAACTGTCGAAAAGTTTCGAAGGATACGTTGTGCTATCTCTGTATATGGTGGGGAAGGGAGGGAGGCGAAGCGACAGAGAAGTAAGAAGCTGAAAACCCAGATCGAGAAACGAAAAACCTAATCCCCGCTATCTCCATATCGCAGACTTCCTCGAAAAATTCGAAACAGAACCCTCTAACTCCTGTGGCTACTTTGTGTTTCATAATTAAGGGCACAAAGTAATAATTATTTTTTTATAAATAATTTTTAAAAATAATATTTTTTAATCTGATATGGCAGTACACATGGCATGCTATGGTGAGTGAGACATGATGTGGGTGCTGAGGTGGCGTACACATCAGCGTAATGTCCACGTTACTCACAGAATTACTGACGGCGTCAAACTTTTTAACGAAAATGGCTAAATTTGTCAAACTAGTTTCAAAATTCTGGCTATATCTGTGTATTTTTCAAAATTTGGCTATTGTTGTCACAAAGCGCAAACTTATGGCTATACATGTGTATTTTGCCTAAATTCTATGATCTTATTGCACTAGCCATGCCATACCCTAGCCATAATTAGCTTAATTGGTAGGCTAAGCTAGCACACATGCTCAACACAACAACAATTTAAATCATTCCTTAAACAACTAGATAGTCTCCGACAATCTTTCATAAACTACTTGACATTCAAGGTATTCATTCACTAACTAAAATTGTAGAAACTATCTAAAACAAGATTAAGCATGCAAGTTTTATTTTTAAAAATGTAAGAAATGCAAACCGGTTGTTGGGGTACCTCCCAACTAGTGCGTCTTTTAAGTCTTATCGACGGACGATTATCTTCAAGTATTCAGTCCACCTTAGAAGCTCATTGAAGTTGAGGTTCTCGTCGGTGTGGTGGTGTCTCAAGTTCCAAGCTCTGGACGAGTCCATTCTTGAGGGTTCGTGAACTTGAGTGGTCTTGAAGCTCCACCCACGAGACCTCTTCTTCTTCCTTCTTCTCTTTGCCCCACACCATGTAGTGCAACATCGATTGACTTCCATCGCATCCACCAAGAGGGATTGCTGATAGTTTGACTTTGGCTTGGCAAACAGCCGCAAATGGGTCATTCTCCAAAATTGCATCGAGGTCGAGTGGAAAGCTTTTGTAGTACTTGTAGATGCTTCATCCACCTCGGCCTCGGCCTCATCTTGAACACCATTTGCAATTTCAACCTCAACCTCCCTTCCTTATTCCTCCCCTTGGGAACAATCAAGATCTTCCTCTTCTTTGATGCTCCCTTCCTCCTCCACAACCTTCCTTCTCGCCTTTTCCTGCTCTTCCTCAAGCACACCACGGAGGGAAAGTTACAAAGAAATTTCTTCAATACGATCCTCACGCATCCCCTCATTTGTGCACCACTCTTCAAAGCTCAAAGCAGAAGGCGGAAGAATGCGGTCTACCACTAAAGGACTTGATTTCTCAACATCATCTCGGGAGTTCTCCGGAATGAGTTCTTCTTGCTCCACTAAGTCCTCACGGATCGCCTCCTCCACTTTCTCTTCCTCTTCAATTGGTAAGAGGCTATTGTGAGCAAGTTGTGCACATGCTTTCTCAACAATCCCTCCTAGCCTCTCCAAGTTTCGGAGGATCTCATCTAATGTTTGTAGGAAGGATGAGACTATAGGGGTGGTGGTTTCCACATTGGAGCATGCTTCGATATCCCGGGTGAACCGCTCCATCATGAGCTCCAGTTGGCTCTTTGGTTCTTGTGGAGTGTATCAAGGTTGTTCTACACTAGAGATTGCTTCCTCGAAACCCCTTACAAACCTCTCCACCAAGAGTTCCAATTCTCTTCTTGGCTCCTGTTATGGAAAGAAGTCTCCTTGGGATGAGGAAACCTCTTTGTATCCCCATTGCTATGGTTCTTTCTCTTGGAAGGGAGGTTGATCATAGAACCTGGTTCCTTGGCTTTCACTCTCTTGATTACTCCATGAAGCTTCGGGGTACCCCCACTCAGGTGGTTTTGGATACCCCCACATGTTGTAGAAGTCATTGGGATCCATGATTCAACATACACAAACAAAAACACTAAAAAGAAAATCAAACACACACAAACCACCCTTTGGGGAGAAGAGTGGGTTAAAAACAAAACACAAAAAGAAAACGTACTATGTAATACTACTACTAATATAAGCAAGAAATAAAGACTAAACTAACAACCTAACTCTTTCAACTAGTTACCGAAACTCCCCGGCAACGACGCCAAAAACTTGATCGCTGCTTCGATCGAGCTTTAAATTTATAAAGTCGAAGCACACTCACTAATCAATCCTAACAAGGATAAGTATAAACAAGCTAGGGATGTCGTAAAGCGGCCCGATCGTATTCCAAGGCTCACGGTATCCTAGGCTACTTAAACTCGGTCGTTATCTAGTTAACTTGTTGTTTAGCAAGTGGGCAGTTGGCGATTCCTAAACTAAACATTGATAGATGAGAAGAGGAACTTGGGGTAACGCCCTCGCCATTTTGGTGTAATATGTGTGAGAACAGATCAAAAACGAAATAAAAAAGTGGATCTGATGCCTCAGCCACTGTTTGAGTTCAAAACTGTTATTCTACCATTCTGTTTTTCTGGTTTACACTGTTACATTGCATTTCTGCAGTTTGTGTTGCTGGAAATTACAAAAATTGTGTACAAACTACAGAAACAGAAGGCCAGCTCCCAACAATTTCCTAGACCGGGGAACTCACGCTGCGTGGCCATGACAAAACCATCTGACTTGTACTCCTGGCTCATTTAGTTCAAGGATGGAGCTGAGCACCTTAGAGAAGTCTGTCATGGAGCAATCTCGTTTTCTATCCTAAAGGATTTGGAGATTAGTCTCTCGATGAGGAGACTAAAGTTCAAACCCCAACTAGAAGACACGCTGAGGCTGCTTCGCAATTGCACAGACTAGCACTTTGGTGTGTAAAATTTCGAGTGTCCTAACAGTAAAATATACAAAATAGACCAGAAAGTAGGGCATCCGGAACTGGAGGCAGCAGCCATCTTGAAGTTTATTAGTGTTACCGTTCATCTATGGAAAAACAATTTCACAACAAATCAAATTGAAACGCCTATACACGTATTTCACGCAGTATCCAAGCACCATCTCATGGGAGCATTTGGAATAATGAGTTCAAACCCACTAACTCAGCAGCTCTCTGCATTCTCACTTCAATCCACTGACCAGCAGATGCCATTTTCAACTTCCAGCATTGGCTCTAGGAGTACCTGGAGCCAAACGCAAGCTTTGGCCCGGCTGCTGCTGCTGCATCTCAGCTGCACTCTTCTGCGAAGCGAGGTGGGACAAAGCTGTGACGACATCAGCCATGGCGGGTCTCATGTTAGGCTGCTCCTGGACACACATTGCTGCAACAGCAAGAGCCTGGTAGAGCGCCCTTGGAGGAAACTGTCCTCCCATCATTGGATCAGCCATTTGCGCAAATTTCCTTCGATCGTTGAACAAGGGCCGCGCCTGTAATCAAAATGGCAACACATGCACGGTTTGATCAATTTTACTATGTTTTAAAACCACCTGTATATGATCTGAGAAAGGGTTTGGCATAAGACCAAGGTGTCATTTTCCCCTTCATACTAACTTACCCAAGCAACCAGATTCTGTTCACCAACTGATTTGCAGGTATCGTAAGCTCTCCTTCCCGTAATGATCTCCAGCAGCACAACCCCAAAGCTATAAACATCTGATTTCAAGGTTAGTTGCCCTGTCATTGCGTACTCAGGAGCACAATACCCATAAGTTCCCATGACTCTCGTGGACACATGAGTATTGTCACCAACAGGACCGAGTTTAGCCAGCCCAAAGTCAGACAACTTGGGATGGTATCCTCTGTCGAGTAAAATGTTTGAGCATTTGAGATCTCTGTAGATGACTGGAGGCTTGGCCTTGTCGTGCAAATACTCTAGCCCTCTTGCTGCTCCTGCAGCGATTCTCATTCTCGTGTTCCAATCCAGCCCTTTCTTACCCGGCTCAATATCTGGATAAAGAAAAGGAGAGAGCAACATCTCTTAGTTTGAGACCAGGAAAATGCAGGCCAAATAGACACAAGTGGTGTCATTATTCCACTACCATGTATATGGTCATCCAGAGATCCCAAAGGCATGTATTCGTAAACCAAGAGTCGTTGATCTCCATCGGCACAGTATCCAATCAGATTGACTAAGTTGCGGTTATGAAGTAGACTCAACATCAGGACTTCAACTAGGAATTCCCTGTTTCCTTGCAGTCCATTTCTGTCAAGTTGCTTGATTGCCACTACCTGCAAGACGAAAGCAACCACCCCGTTTCAACTTAGATTCTAACAACCACTTTAGGGCCATGAAGTAGGGAAGTGAGTCTCAATTCTCAAAACCTGATTAATGCTTTCCAAATGGCCTTTGTAAACCCTTCCAAAGCCCCCCTCGCCAAGAAGACACTCTTTTTTGAAGTTCATAGTTGCTATGGCCAATTCCCGGAAGGCAAACGTCTGAGCTGGAATCTCATTGGATGATATTTTTGAGTCTCCCTTGTTATCTTTCCTGGATCTTTCTGCGTTAACAGTAGGAGGGAGACAACCTTAATATTATACCAAACTTGAAGGCCACAGAAGACCCACATTGAAACTTGAAAGCAAACAGATCAACCCAAGCTTGTGCGATCATCAAGGCAAGACTACTAGAAGAATTCCAAGGATTTTGTCACATAGTCCTCATCAAAACAACTAAACCCCTGCGGAACCCTAATCAGAAGAACAATTGAACTAAAAGAATCCTAACCCAAAATTCCCATCAAAGCCCATCAAAAGGGGGTCAGAATCACTCTTCTCTCAATGAGCCATTCTGCAAACTTTGGAGAAAGGACCCGAAAGTTGTCAGAAACAAACCTGAAGTTCTTGATCTTTCAAGAGGCAGGTTCTTTTTGTCATTGATCATCACCACCATCTCCATAGTACCCTTCTGCGGCTGCTGCTTCTTCTTCTTCTTGCTGCTGCCATTGTTGGTATTTCTCTTCGTGGTCTTCGGACCCACAGCTACACCAGAACAAGGGATCCATTTCATGTTCCTTCACGATCAAAACAACCCTCTTTTCTCGATTCAGCTTCTCTTCTGATCCCTAGGGTATTATCTTCTCACAACAACAGTATGTAACTATAGAAAGATCAAATTTTTTTTGTAAGATTGCAGCAAACGGCTTAAAATTTGCGACAAAAACAAAGCTATCACATTCAAAGCAAGCCCTCCTCCCCAGGTTCCACTCTGTCTCCCTCTCTGTTTTCCTGGCTGACCTTCACTCCGTCTCTCTCTCTCTCTCTTTCCCTCTCTTATTTATCGTCTCGTCTGTCCTGTTCTTTCTTCTTTTCCTTTGTGCCCGATCTCCCCGTTTTGCCAATCTTCGTAATCATTCGTCGCCTACAAGTCGCAATCTTTGGTGGGCTCCATCAATTTCGATCGTGGAATCGAGTAATATCACAGTACTCTCCAATTGCTGACTCCCCTCGTCAGAAATGGTCGCAATCGGAAGAAAAAGTCCACTCCACTAACGGCCCAGATTGAAAGTTCCACTCCAAGCCTAGGCTAGGCTCGAGCACAGACAAAGTTTGCCATGCGTTCAAGCTGAAAAGCTCGTTTTGTTTTCATTTGAATCGAATTAAAGTAATTGAAACTTTCGGCTGGAAGTTATGATGATGTTAATAAACAGCTGTGGTGGTCAAAGCCTTTCAGCCACCAACTCAGCCTTTCAGCCATCGGTTTTGTCATCAACACGCCCGGCGCCAGCTCTCTCTGCATTTGATTCCATTCCGATCCCTCGATCCAAAGTTTTGCCGCCCGAGTATTCGAGCAACTGGGTTCCGTAAAGTATCCAGCTTTCGGACCCGATTTCCTCACTGTTCACAGTTCATCATACCGATGGTTGCATTGGAGAGCAGAGCAAAGTAAAACAGGGGAAAGAAACAGAGGAAAGCAGACAGACAGACAGACAGTTGTCAGGTCGACGCGGTCCTCAGGAAACATGCTAGCGAGACCAGCCAAAGTAACCACAATCTTTTTTTCTCCGAATTGCTTGTCTTTCGGGAACAATAATATTATTATATATACCTACAAGGCAGCTTAGAATTGGAGTATCCGCCATGGCTGTATCGCTAACGCATATAATATGGCTGTTTTCAATAATTGATTGAATAATTAAACTAAGAGAGATGATGGTATTTGAATCCCACCCACCAAGCGGGTAATAGTGTAAACACAAACATTCAAGCTACAATTGAATCTGGTGATTTGAAAGGATTGGACGAAAACATTGTGGAAAAATTCCCTGCTGTTTGACTGCGTTAGAAGAAGAAACGGAAGAAGGAGAGAGACGAGGGATGGGAATCCGGGAATGCAAATTGCTTTGCAATGCTCGAGATTGACATTTTCCAGCATCAGAAGTTCAAAACCCGCTGGCATTGCCCTGTACTTATGGGGGACAATTTATTATCTTTGTCCTCCGAATTTTTGTTAAAGCAGAGTTTCCAATTGTGTGTTCCACGATTTTTCTTATAATTCCAAACCTCTCCACCAAGAGTTCCAATTCTCTTCTTATGTAGGGCCGGCAAATCTTTCCGACTCTATACCAATATTATTATTATTGTCATCATTATCATTATATTAATATTAAGTACAAGTAAAATCATTATTTCATACTAAAGAATAAAAAATAAGAAGGTATTAAAAATCATTCCCCCAACTCAGGTAACCAAAAGAAAGGAAAGTGGAGGATTTGATTTTGCTCGATTCAGCTCTCAAATCAAGTGGCTTCAATTCGAAGAGGAGCAATGGCAAAGGAAAGCTATATTTGCATTTTTTTAGCATAAAAGAGTTGATACTATACGGGGTCCGTTTGGAAGTTGTGACTGTTAAATCATTGCATTGTAATGAATCGACATAATATAAATGCATGTATTGATACAATGGATGCATTTTAACAATACATTGTTTGGTTGTTGAGATTCTACTTTATGTATTGATTTACATTAAGTTACTTTTATGGGGAAATGTCATATTTACCCTCAACTTTTAGTATAAGACAAAAACTATTAGGGATATAAATGAAAAAAAATAGTTGACACAAATCTAAAATCAACAATCACAACAATCACAACTTTTAGGGGTCGTTTGGAAGTTGCGATTGTTTTGTTGAGATTGTTATTATACATGTATTGTTTACAATGCATCGTTTTTTTGTTTTTTTAGCAGAAACAATACATGGATTGTTTCTGTGATGTGACAGAAACTATCACTCATTTTGAGTGATTGTTATATCTCAACTTTTAGTTGTGATTGTTGAGATAGTTGAGTTGAGATTGTTTTGTCTCAGCTTTTAGTTGAGATGTATAATGCATCATTTTTGTGATTGTTGGTGGGACCTACCTAAAACAATGCATGCATTGTTTTACACTTTGACACTTCCAAACATTGTATTGTGCACAATACATGTATTCAACAAACACAACTCTAACAATCACAACTTCCAAAAGACTCCTACAAGAGTGACAAGTGGCTTTTACAATTTCGTTGAGGTTATATGTCAACTATCTTCCATTTACCAATCCCTGTCGCTGCGGACTGCGGTTATATGTCAGGGAGAAGATCGGTGGTGTGACATTAAACTTAGCCAGTGGTTTGATCCAGCTATCTGTCGGGTCATTAAAGCTATCCCTCTTTCTCATCAGATTATTCCAGATAAATGAATTTGGCATGCCACGCCTGACGGGGTTTTCTCTGTTGAATCGACTTACCATTTTGCAGTCTCTCTAGATAGAAGGAAGGGTCGTTGGAAATCTATGGCTAGTTGGATGGATAGGGCCAACTGGATTCGGTTATGGGAGGCTAACATCCCACCCAAATTGAAAGTTTTTGTCTGGCAAATCTTCCATAGGATCTTCCCAACTACAAAAACCCTAAATGAGAGGAATGTCCTGGTGAATCTTAGGTGTCCAGTCTGCTGGGGGGAATTGAAAACAATGGAACATCTGTTTCTTGATTGCCCGGTAGCTCGTGCTCTTTGGGATCATTCAGGGATGGAGCATCTTGGGCAAGGATTGCCTCGGCAAACCTTTCCCTTCTCTTAAAAAAGTTGATGTCTCTAATTCACCAACCCTGTCTATTCATGGCTATTGTGGCGATCTCGTAAATGGGTGGTTATTGAAGGTAAACGGTTCAGGATCCCAACTTTATTGCGGCAATTTCACCAACAGTATGAGGAATGGGAAAGTTTGCCGGTGGACCGAGTTCTCCATTCTTCCACCCCCGGTACAACACGTGAATCTTGGTGGGCCTCACTCTGCTGTTTGTATGTAGGATGGGGCAGTAAGGAGTGGTTCTCATTCAGTAGGCGGGATGATGATTATGAACCAAGCTCAAGAGATCCTTTTGGTTACTGGGGTGCAGTTCCCTTTCATTGATGACCCTATGGTGGTTGAATTACTTGTGCTTCGTGAGGCTTTCTTATGGTGTCTGGCTCATGGCTTCACGAAGATAAGGTTTGAAGGTGATGCCAAAGTGGTCATCGATAAGATCAATCGGGCAGATACCAGAGACAATCGATAGGAGCGGTTCTTGAAGAAATTGTGCAGTACTTTGTTGTCCATAGACCATAATAGGTTTAGTGTGCGATTTGTGGGTCGGCCTAGCAATAGGATAGCCCATTTGGTGGCTCGACAGACCCTTTCTTTGTACCCGACTACGAGTCGTTTTTTTCGATTTTCAGGCCTAGCTGATCTCCAAGATGTAATTACCTATTTTTTGAATCCATATATATTTTTTTTATTTTTGTTCTTGACTTTGCTCCTGATATGGTGTTTTGGGATTGGAATATCCTATCGATATTCACGAATTACGAGCATCTTCTGTGATACAAAAAGAACGGCATGCTGGAATTAGAAAACGACGTTGTTAGTTTACAAGGAAGTAGTAGCCAGGTCAAAATAATTTACATTCTCAAAGACCAAAACTTGTAATAATTCACGTATGGGGAATCTACAACTACTGAGTACATTGATCAGAAGAGGAAGTCCCCCCTATCGGTTGGTTGAGCCTGAGAATGGAAGTGAGGCAATTAGTTGCATTTGCATATAACCGATTCCACCACCGCTGGCTAAGTATCTGCTGCGCCGCCGGTGTTGCCGTCGCCGGCCTCCGGTCTCCCCTGTTCACAACAAAATCTTTCCATCATCAGCTCCACCGGTGTTAGAGTTCAACTGAGGTGTATTTTTATTTATCATTACTATTTAGTTTCTCTTTGCCCATTTTTTCCTCACCTTGCCTTTGTCACGCCAGCCGAGTCCAAACGCCAAGCGACCAATTCCTCTACCAGTGTTTTCCCCTGTCGTGCTCTGGTTGCGAACAGCCCTGGAAATAGAACAGAACCGTCAAGACTAACTAAGGCTGGCAAACACAGAAACATAATTCAAGTGGGCGTCCCAAAAAAGAAGAAGACCAAACCCAACTACTACCCTGGAGGTTCGACGAACTGTGCTTTAGTCTGGCCAGATTGGTACTGCGCTGTAGCCTCCAACATTGACTCCGCCATCACCACCCGCTTCTCCATTTGAGCTATTAATCCCATGGCCTTGTCATATTTCTCCTGCAAAACCATAACGCAATTGTTTTAATATTAGCCGCTATATCCTGGAACCAATAGGAGATGATTGTGGAAGACAGAGAAGAGAGGGAGAGACCCGAAGTGAATCGAATTCACGTCTCTGAGCAGCTGCTTCTTTCTCAGCAATGACACGGGCTTCTTCGGTTATCTTTTGTTCTTGCTCGACGCGCATCAGTACCTACAGCTCACACAAACACAATATGTATCCATGACTAATCTCCAGATGATTTCGTCTTTGCTTGCCACTCAATCATCAAGAGATTGGAGTTAACCTCGAGCATTGCAGCTTCTTGCTCTTTCTTCTCAGCCAGGGTTCTTCGCAGCCCATACATCTCCTGCTCCAGCTTCTCAATCTGCACCAAAATGACACTTTGAAAATCGTCCATCAACTCCTTTCGCTTCAGATACCACTAGCTTCTCTACCTTTCACTGTTTTACCAGCAAATGAGCGTAAAGCCAATACCTTTGCACTCAATTCCCGCCGATTGTCTTGTTTGACCATCTCCATGAGTGCTGTCTCCAACTCTTCAGCTCTGGAGTGAATCAAACCAGACAACCGAACACAAGCACCTTAGGAATTTTACTTGCTACCATTCATTACTTAGACGGATAAGAGTATATGATATGAAAGCTAGTTACCTTAGTATGGCGGATCTTTTCTCTTCCAACAATCTGCACAGCTCAACCTTCAGCCAAACCACCTACACGCCCAAAAGCTCTTAATAGTTGAAATTTGGAACAATAAATTATTTTTTTAAATTTTACCAAATAATTCCTGATGGAATGGGAACTACCTGATCTTGAAGATCTGGCAGACAATCCAGTTCTGCGTCGGAAGATAAGCCACATAAAAAATCATCAAAAGTGGAAGCAGATCCCGACAGAGAATTGTCTCCTTCACTGCTTCTTCCATCACGCCCTTTGTCGTGTTTGAAACTGTAGAGCTTTGTTGCAAGACTTTTTGAATCCTTCCAAACTTTACCCTGTCTTGACCTTTCCTCCATTGCTTCTAAAACTGATACTCTGTGTTTATCTCTCAGCTCTACCAATCTAGCTTCAGTTATGGCCAAAAACCCAACACAAGCAGTCAAAACAAGCTGGCTGCTGTCAAATGTTGATCCTGCTAGGGACTGCAATAAAGTAACTGCATCCCCAGCATCTTTAGTTGTAAGCAACGCAGGACCTATGAAACAATTGCATTAACTTGCTATGATGCTTTCAAATCCCTCCAAAAACAAGAAGATAACTGTGAATTCAAAATCTAAAGAGTACCATATAGCTCCATGAGAGCAAATGCTGTCCGGAACAACATCACACGGTTTCCTTCAAATAGAAGAACATCCCAAATTCGCAGAACTGAAGATAGTTTCAAAATTAGCAGGAGAATTAGGGGTCATAGTCAAAACTAGCAGAAGATAGTGACATAATTCTTTTGCCCATCCTATTTTCCAAATGAATAATTAGGTAATTGAAACCATGGACATTACCACTTTCCCAAGGAAGCATGTTTATGAAAATAGAAAGAAACCAAGGTCCAGAAACCCATGCAACCTGCACTCCCATGAATTCGAGATGACTAACTGCAGCAACAGCATAAATGAAATGAAGAGACAATTCGAGCTGCACTCAAGCAGGGGGTCAGAACAAACAGAGCTGACAATTTGACTAACCTAATCTAGGAAAAATTTCATGCATCAGCTCTTCAAAAACGAGCTGGTCCACCTGTTTGGCATACAATGTTATATTATTGAGAAAGAACATTCAAAGAATGTGTAGTCGCATTGTGATAAATAAAAAATACAAAAATAGGACAACATACTAGAACAGAAAAACAAAATGACTAATTTCTGAAGAAACTAACAACCACACCTGTGATTCAATCATTTCTTCGGTATAGTAGCCATCAAAATAGTCATCAATAATTCCCACAAAAGTCCTGTGCAATTCAAAAAAGGAAACCGATTCAGCCATCTAGCTATCTAAAAAGGAATAGTGATCTAGACTCTATATCGATATCCTGAATGTGAAATAAATGCAGACTCTTTTGAGAGACCGGAGAACAAGGTAATTCAAATTCAGGTACAACATGGTCTTATAATAAGATACTTTAAACAGGGTTTCCTGACCACATCTTTGGGAATTATGTCTGTAAGGAAATATTTGACAGAGATAGGATGCTCAAACCTACCAAAACGCATTTTCCTCTGGCATCAGCAATAGCAACAAGCCCGCAAAATAATTCATTGCCTGCATTGTACGTGCTAAAAGTGAATAAGAATAATCACTGTACCAGATGGGAGCTACAGAAGCTTCAAATATGCACTGAGAAACTAAAGCCTTAATGATAGCAGACAAGTAATTTAGATCGTGTGAGAACTCTAGCCATGATGCTCAATTGATGAAGTTTACAAGTAGTCATGCCAAGCATTAGTCATTGCAAGACATTTATTGCTGCTCTCACCTGACAGTATCCAACAGAAGGATTATGCCGAGCATACGCTGTAAGTATCCGCCTCAAGGAATCCCTACCATGCTCATCCAAAGCTGGATGACCAGGAAATGTTCTTGGTATGTCCTGCATTAGAAACAAAATTCATTTTAGGGAGAACCTAGACGCCAATCCAACTCAAAGAAGTTCCACCTACAAATTTAAAAGATTAACAATAAAGCCCAAAGCATGCCATGCATCTAATGACCTTTTCAATCTGCTTTCTCCACTTCTGGGGTACACCTGTATTGTTATCATCGTTGCTTTCGTCAGCATTTGCTTCTTCTGCAAGCAAATCTTCATAATACTTTTCAATCCTACGCGCTTTTGCACCGACAAAGGCTTGCCATACCTGGAAAGAGCAGGATCAGATGTATCCGATGCATGATGTTTTCAGAAATAATAAAACTGAGTACCATTATAGCTTTACCTCTCCCCTGAGATCTTTTGGCACTCCTCCATGGACAAGGAACTCAAGCTCCTGATTCCAATGGAGGAATGGTTCTAAAGAAGGCTCATCCTCTACTTTCCTTTCATCTCTGCCCTCATTAACCTTGTCATCCACATGATCCTTAACATTTGACTCCTCCTCAACACCATCATCTGGTTCTTCTTCTACGGAGCCATCTTCTTCTATAACAGGAAGTTGGTCTCCTCCATTTCTATCACTCTTCTTGTCTTTTACATGATGTTGCTCGTGAACACGTGAACTCATTAGCCTCTCTATAACCTTTAGGGAAGGTCTAATTTGACCCCAATTGGGAACTTTACCAGCCTTTGATGTTTTTGAAAGATCCTTCTTTTCACCTTCCTCGGAAACATGCAACTCTTCCGGTGTTTTGATGGTACTCCCCGAGGGTTCCGATGGTTGCACCTCCTCTTCAGGCAACTTCACTGGCTCTTCCTTCGTTTTCTGCACCTTTACCTCAGGATCCTCAACATATAATATCTCCTTTCGAGGTCCCTCCACACATTGCACCTCCTCTTGAGGTCTCTCTGTAGACTGCCCCTCTTGAGGTCCCTCGTTATACTGCACTTTTTCTCACTTTGTCCCAAAAGCTGAGCCCCTTCTGTCGATTCCTCTGAGCGGTTTTGCTCCTTTGGAGTATTAGAATGAGAGCTGCTCACACTCGCATCATCATTATCCCTTCTTCCCTCTGAACCAGCCTCTTCTCTAGACTCAGTAGTGGTCTCAACCTGCAAGACCTCTTGATTTGCTGCTTGTTCTTCAGGTTGATCCAAATTTTCTTGCTGTTCAAGGAAGATCTTCCATTTCTGTGACCTCTCCTCCTCCTCCTCCTAACATACACCACGACCGAAAAGATAACAACTCATTCGAAAAAAAAAAACTTGGATTTTTTCTTGGTTCCCCCAAGTACTTAATGAAATTGGGAAATTGTTGGTGTTTCTGAAAAAGGGAAATACCTTATAGATATGGATGTATTCTCCGTATCGTTGTAATTGTTGAGGTCTCAAGACAAATCCATAAGAATCCCTAATCGGAGACACCAATCAATCAGGCTCCCCATGAATGCAGAGAACAAATGAAACGAACAAACAAAGAAATGAAACTGAAATGGAGCTTGCCTGGACTCAACCTCGAACGAGCGCCTACTCAACAAGGACAACAACATACTTCACATGCAAATTTCCGCATTCGAAAGCCCATAACTCTCCCTTAATTCATTTCTCACTACTTCATTCGTTGTAGAAACAATGGTACTAATAATACCAAACTCCCTCCCTAGAACACAAAGAACCTCATTTTCTTCCATATATAACTTTGCAATCGCAGGACATCCATTTAACGCGAAGCAAAAAACGAAGAATCGGAAAGAAAGAAGAGAAGGGGAAAAAAGAAAAAGAAAAAAAACAATCAATCGGTGATTTTATTTTCCTGAGGTGAGAAATCCAGACTCGGCTCCGACTCACTCATTGCTCATCCACCCAATCCAGGACCGAGTTTCCGTTCACTTTTGTCGGAAGAAGGTTTCAAATCAAGTCTCGGAGAAAAACGAGCATTCAAGGACACGCGGAAGCCGGAAATGAAATACTAGTTAGAATTTTAGTTGAGTACCTGCTTCCGTGGTGGTGGAGAGTGTGGTGGAAATTGAAGCTATTCTCCGCCATCTCCGGCTGTGTTGTGAGGGTCAACGGAGCTGCTCGAACCTCCGGGGAGATTTTCGCCGGCGGATTCGGGTTCTTGAGGGTGCAGAGCTAGCTACGGGAAGAATTTCCCACCCAAAATGAATTTATTGGCGGTTGCATTTCTGGTTCCCGTGAACCTGAGCTCACTGGAACCCGCTTTGGTACGGTCCACGTCACGTGGAACTTCCCTACTTCCCGTTGAGTCTTCTTCTCCTTCTTCTGCTTTTCTTCACCTTTTCAGTTTCCCTCTTCCTTCCTCCCTTTTTACGCGAACGTTTCTCTTTTGTGTACAAGGGGGAAACTTTATCCCTCAGTATCGAAGTTACGAAGCAAAAGCAGTTGACTTGACTCTACTTGTTTAGCATTTTTTTTTTTATGAATCTGCATGTAGATCATCAACATTCAACAACTAAGGAGTAAGGAGCAGATAAATCATTTTTCATTTTCAGCGGCTACCCGATCATTTATTTTTCAAGCTTCTAACTAGTATCTTTAATTGAAAGTTAAGTTAGTGTAGCGTGAATACGTTGGAAACATTATTGTCCGGACTCGGCAGCGATCCGGGTTAGTGAGGTCTAAAGTTTATCAGATGACCGGTGATTAATCGGTATAAAATCGATGACATATAAATTTTCAAATAAAATTATTATAATTCCGTGGTATGTCTAAAATTAATACTATTGTTTAAATTGAGAATTGTATATCTTATTTATATATATATATTCAATTGAAGAATTCAATATTAAAATGTGACTGAGTGGAATGTGAAGAATTCAATTGGAAGAAAAAGAAAGTAATTAAAGTAATGATTTGAAGAAAAAAAAAGAGGGAACGTGAGTGAGTGGTAAAAAAAAGAAAAAAGAAAGTGGGCAAAGGAAAAGAAACATTCATTTTACCTTTCCAATTTTATGTCTTTCAAGGAAAAAATGTAAGTAATAATTTTCTATAAGAAAGGTACGTATTAATCCCAAAACCGTCGATTCGAGTTAGCCAGTTCTACCAGTTAGTCGGATGAATCGGTTAATACCTGGTCAGCCGATTTTCTTATTGTTTAGAGGGAGTCGGAACCGAATGAGTGGCCAGAGCCGATTAGCCGCGGTTTGAGCGGCCGGTCCGGACTAGTTTTGATAACGCTGGTTGGAAACATCTTTAGTAAGGAATCAACAAGTCTTTCGTATGTCGAATTTCTTTCACATATTTAATCATCAAGTCTCTAGCTAATCATTTTGTCAAATGACCAGCTAAATTCTCTCAAATTCGGTCATAATGTTTAGGCATAACTCCATAAGTAATCAGTTCAAGAATTTTACCTTGTCTAATTCCCGCATGACAAGATTTGCCATTTATACACTTGGCTATATGCCTAGCCAAAGTAGCATTATTATCACAAAGGATAGTAACATGTGAGATTGAGACAATGTGACTTCTTTATCAATCACTTGATTCAATACCTAAAATCACATTTACTTCCCTCATGCCATGCATGAAAATTTAGATGACATAATTTTTTTGGTAAAGTTCACTTAAAGACAAGCATGTGCAAGTCATCTATATACAAACATATAATGACTCCATTGTCAGAATCATCAAAAATTGTATACACACTTGTAACCAATCACCATTCTCAGCCAATCACTCGTAACCAGGTCGAGGCTCTTCAGCCACGCTACCCCCAATATCACATTAAATTAGGGCTGGGAAACGGTGCGGTCTGGTCTAGACCAGACCATCTATACGGTCTATAGTCCAGACCGAGAGGATAAGTATAGACCACAGACCAGACCACAGACTATACGGTTCGGTCTAGACCACGCCTGTGCGGTCTGGTTCGGTCTAGTCTGGTCCACATAGACCACACTCAACGAAAAATGAATAATTTGTTTAGTCAACCACACAAAAAATTGAACCAATAACCAGAAAAATAATTGTTATTTGCCTTAAATCATCAATCCTAACATGCATGAATACTTTTGATACTCTAAATCTTAGTACATAACCAAAGATACAAAGTAAAAGCATCCCAACTTGCACCATAACGTCATAAACATTAACATATAATGTCATATAGAGACACGATTATCTCTACTCTCTAGTTAAATGAGGTTATGAATTAAGGAGGGACGAGATTCACAAAACTAAGGTTGAGACTTGAGTGTCGTTGTGGGAGTTGGGAGAGTGGTCGAATGAGCTGTTAACACGTATTTACAAGTCAGTTGGGTTCACGGTTTGGTCCGGTAAACCGCGGTCTAGACCAGACCAGACCAAAATATCAAAACATAAAATAGTACAGACCATGGACCAGACCAGACCAGACCATACTTAACGGTCTACGGTCCGGACCAAACTGTGCGGTACGGTTTGGACCACGATTTTTCTAACGGTCTGGTCTATTTTCCCAGCCCTACATTAATCTCTGCAAAGGAAACGCAAAAAGATCCACACCAACCCTTGAATCTACAGGGGAACGACTTGGAATTGTCGATCGCACTACACAGTTGCCCTGTTCGCTCCTTTGACCGTGAAGGTTTTCATCTGCGTCGCAGTCAGCCCCAAGGTTGTCGCAAACTCCTCTCTGATGAAGTTAAGCGAGGCTCCGCTATCGACCAAGGTCATCGCAGCCTACCTGTCACCCGGCTCCGGAACAAATCCTCGTCAGCCCCGCTATCCTAGCCAACACCACCACGGAGATCTCCGAGTCGACCGCTCTACCCTTCGCCTTCTCGTCGCGTGTTCACTGTTACAGCTGAGGTCGTTGCAGCCGCTTCACTCGACGCAGGCGCAGGCGCCAACTGGCCACCCCGTCCAGCGCGATCAACCATCCTCGTGACGGCCCTCTCGTTGGCCCTCCTTCAATATCGCCAAGAACTCCGCCATCGTTCCTTCGAGCTTTTTAAGGACTTGTTAGAGGCACTCCTCAATCTGTTTATCTTGGCCCCGTTAAAGAGCTACAGTAAACTTATTGTCGAACGAGGTTATGATACCACTTTAAGAACCTCGAATAGAATTGAGAAGGATTGAAAGAGAATTAGGTTTAGCTATTGAGAATTGAGAAGCACTAAGGAAGAAATTTGGGGAAATTGAGAGGAGTATAGGAAGAATTTTGATTGTTATTTTGCTTAATTCGAGAAATGAGAAGTTCTCTTCCTTGAATTGTTTCTACCATACTAACAAAAATAACACCCGCATAAAAAAAAAAAGGGCCAAATGTCCCTAATGGCTGAATTGGCCATGTTTCTAACAAAACGTGATACTCCATACAAATACCATATATCAAATAACAAGAATTACATATATGATATTTGCGTAATAATTGACTCCAAATAACATATTTGAAAAATACTTAATCCAAACTACCAATAATCCCCAAAATTTGTTAATAATTTTGAGTTATCGATCGTTTGTGATATGTGATTGTGAGGATGAAATCAATTACTGAAGCAAGGAGACATCACAATGAGCACCCTAGAACACTACTTTATTGAATAAGTTCGGTAATACCCGGCAGTACCACTCCAACCAAACTTCAGGTGACATGAAATCCAAGAATTCATTCACGGTTAATAATTATACAGCCACCTTCTTACAGCATATGAACAATACAAGTGTACATTTACTCACTGCACATTTCTAGCAACACACCAGTAACCAACTCAGTGGCAGCTTTTTATTCACCAAGCACAGCAAATGGCTCTCAGAAAGTCCCCGTTCATGACCAGGAACTCCCTAGAGAAGCTTCGTCCTTGTAAAGATGCAGGGCAACCGCTACTGAGCCTGCGCAGAATAGATATCTGATTTACAAATCCCCGAAATACAGGTACAGTTCCATGTTACAACTTGACAGCCAATGACAATCGATTGTAGTTACCGAGAGACGCTTGCGGAAGGCCTCAACAGTCTGTTTTGGATCAACTTTCGTTGGCTTGTAAGCCTCGAGTTTGTTCGCCTCCTGTATGCGTATATAAGGATACCGATACCATCACCCAATTCAAGAGAAGAGTAACTTATGGTTATAGGCTCATAGGTCGTCGAAGGGATTATGTTCAATACCTCGATCAAAGCTGCAAGTTTAGGCCTGCCTTCAGTAATATCATACTTGAGCACTTCAGATAGAAAACCTGGAATCTTTCAATGAATGGGATGTAGGCAATGTCCACCTGCAACATACACATAAGGACAGGTTGTAGATTAGAAAGCCTTAAAGTTAACATCAAATCAACTTGGGAGCGCGCTAAGGGAAGTCAAAACTTACCAGACTGAATTGGCCAAGGAAGAACGGCCCATCATTGAACCTCGAAAGGGAGTTTTCCAAGAAATCAAAAACTGGATCTGAAACACAGACCAACCAGTAAGTTTTTTATATGTAAACAAAATGTAGCTCCGGTACCAAATGGAAGCGCGCTACAGAACTCACCAACTTCGTTTGCCACATCTCCTTGAACGAAGAGAATACCGATCCAACGAACGGTGTCCGCTGTACGACAACAACTCATCAGCAAACTGTTTCTTAGCAGGATCCTACCAAGATTTTCAATATATCACCAAGTTAGCTTCTTGCTGAGGTACAGTGAGAACACATTGAAAAGAGGGGGGGAGAGCTCAAAGAACGTTTACATCAGGGGTAATAGAAGGTCCCTCAAAGTTGGCATCCAAGTACTTAACCAAGTCGAGACTCTCCCCGATGATTTTCCCATTGTGTTCAAGTGCCGGCACCTTAGAAGAAACAAGACCAGGCATCAAACTTGAAAAGAGTAACAATTGACTAACATGATCACACTACTAATTAGCCGCATTAACAAAGATGCATATGCATCAAGACTTGGAGCAACAGAACAACAGTGTCTTATCAAGTAGGCTAAACTTTGTGTCGCATAATCACACGGTATGTTATATTTTTCTACTCACTGATGAAAAATTCACCTTATTGGGAGGATAAACCTTCTCTTTATACCAAGCAGGCCTGTCCTGAAGGTTCAAGGGGACTAGCTTTATCTCATTTTGCAATCCCTGAGAAACCAACGAGATCACCCAATTACATGGAATGTAACCCTTACCAGAAAACAGGATTCTACTCTAATTACATATGGAGCTGGAAAAGATAACCTTGAAATTCCTGGTGATCCAAACTCGCTGGGCGTAAGGACAGATGTAAGCCGTGTACAGCCTTCCACAAACCAGCAACCAAAAAGGGGAAAGAAAGAGGCAGCAACCATCACCGTTGGGGCCATCATGTCAGTACTTTAGCTCCAGCATCAACGAAATGAGGAAGGAAGAAAGAAAAAAAACGCAGGCGGACGAGAAACGGAAACGAGGGAAGGATGAA